AAACCCTACTGGCTCGTGCCGTTGCCGGCGAGGCAGGGGTGCCGTTCTTCCACGCCGCCGGTCCCGAGTTTGACGAAATACTGGTTGGCCAGGGCGCCAGGCGTGTTCGTGATCTGTTTGCGACGGCCAAGCAAAAGGCTCCCTGTGTGATTTTCATCGACGAGATTGACTCTGTGGGGGCGAAGCGTACCAATTCGGTGCTCCACCCGTACGCCAACCAGACCATCAACCAGCTACTCACTGAGATGGACGGCTTCCGACAGAACGAGGGCGTCATTGTGCTAGGGGCGACCAATCGACGAGACGACCTGGACAAGGCTCTCATTCGCCCGGGGCGGTTCGATGTGGAAATTCAAGTGCCTCTGCCTGACTTTGAAGGTCGCAAGGAGATCATCAAGCTGTACCTCGACAAGATCAAGTACTCGTCCAATGTGGATCTGGATGTGCTGGCACGAGGCACCACCGGGTTCACTGGCGCAGACCTGGAGAATATGATCAACCAGGCGGCACTTCGAGCGGCAATCGACGGACTCAGCTCAGTGACAATGGACTACATTGAGAATTCACGAGACAAGGTGCTGATGGGCCCGGAGAAGAAGAGTCGTATTCCGGACGAGGAGGCAAACAAAATAACCGCCTACCACGAGGCTGGTCACGCTCTGGTTGCGTACTACACCAAAGACTCGCATCCACTGCACAAGGTGACCATCATCCCGAGAGGGCCCTCGCTGGGACACACTGCCTATATTCCAGAGAAGGAGGCCTACCACGTAACCAAGTCGCAGATGCTGGCCACCATGGACACGCTGATGGGTGGTCGAGTCGCTGAAGAGCTCATCTTTGGACCTGATAAAATCACCACTGGTGCTTCAAGTGACCTGAGGAAGGCCACTCGAATGGCGACAAACATGGTCAAAGACTGGGGAATGTCGGACAAGGTAGGGTGGCGAAATCCGAAATGTAAAATATTCATGCTAAACATCATATTTCCCGTGTCAACGCAGATCGGTGTACGCACCTTCGACGATGAACACAATTCACTGGTGGTGGTCAATGAAATTTCGGACACCACGACCGAGCATATTGACAATGAAATCAAGAAAATCCTTCAGGTTTGCTATTTCCCAAAGCTGTCTTGTTTTAGTCTATAAACAACTTTCTCTTTTGTCATAGGATTCATATGAACGCGCAAGAAACATCTTGAAAACCCACAGTCAGCAACATGCAAAACTTGCTGAGGCATTACTAAAGCACGAAACGTTGAACGCGGAAGACATTAAAAGAGTGTTGGCAGTTTGAAAGTCGGCGGGGCACTTGGAAATTGTAATAAATATATAATTCGCTTATGTAACAGTGCAAAAGGAGACCTCCAATCAAGTGTTGTTCATCAGTACAGTATTGCATGCAGCTACGCTCTTCAAGCTCTTTCAAGTTATGGGGAACATTGCACTGGACAGAACGTTAGTGTGAAGCCATCGAGGAGAAAATGGCATTACTGAGCATTACACATCACTCTGCGGGGACTGGAGTGTCAGTGGTCAGTGGTGAGTTTAATGAGTGACAAACAAAACTGAGCGAGAGAAGGCGGGTCAGGAGTGCGTGTGGGTGTGTGCGATTTACTTTTTGCGATTGAGCACCATGTCACAGAGCACCATGAGAGCCTGCTTCTCCGGACTGTCTGCCAGTTGAGCTATGTGGCGGGCTGCCTCATCTGCGTGCTTGCGAGCCAACATGCGAGTGTGGTAGATGCCGTCGCTCTACAGACAAAAGAAAGAATGAAAAGGGTTCGGTTAAGATGGAACGTCAGCAGTACACCCGTAGTTCTCCTCCTACCTTCATCACCGCATCGTAGGCCTTCTCCACGTCGCCCGGCTCACTGAATCGTCTGATGATCATCTCATTCAGTTCGGGGAACTTCTCACAGGCAAAGAGGACGGGCGCCGTGGCCAGACCTAGCTTGAGGTCGTTGGCGGCAGGCTTGCCCAGCTCGGCCTGGTTCGAGACAAAGTCGAGCAGGTCGTCGACCAGTTGAAAGGCAATGCCCAGATTGCGGCCGTACTGAAAAGCCGCCTCCTGCAACTCCTCATTGGCACCGGAAAGGTATGACACTGACTTGCAGGTGTACGCAATCAGACTGGCCGTCTTCTTGAACGTCTTCTGAATGTAGTGCGCGAAGCGTTCGTTGACGTCCTCCTTCGAGCCCATCTGCATGAACTCGCCCAGGACCAGGTCGATGATGGCCTAGGAGCAGAAGGAAAGCAAAGGTTTAGCATTTGGTTTAAACACTGACAAAATTCAGCCAACCTCCGAGAGAAGTGATATCAGCACAGTACTGTTCAGCCGAGCCAGCATCTGCGAGCCCCTGGAGATGACAAAGTCACCCGCAAAGATGGACTTCTTCTGGCCCCAGAGCACATTGACGGAGGGTTTTCCCCTGCGAGTGTCCGCAGAGTCGATGACGTCGTCGTGAATAAGGCTGGCAGTGTGAATCATCTCAATGATCAGCGAGACCCGCTTCTGCGAGTTGAGCAGCTCCGACTTGCCGCTCAGGTGGAAGTTGAAGGCACGTGCGGTGAGGATGATGATGAGCGGCCGAATGGCCTTTCCCTGGCCATCAAAGTAGTAGCTGGAGATCTCCTTCAGTTCAGGCATCACCGTGTTCAGCTCCTTTCGGATGTCGATGAAGAGGTTGTCGAGGTCACTTTGCGCCAACTTGAAGGGGTCTATGCTGGACGACTGACTGGTGGAGGAGCTCTCCTGGAGACTCTGCTGCGACGAGGAGGACTGACTCCGCAGCGCCAGAAGGGCAGACGACCTTGGGCTGGCCATCTGGAAACGACCATTTCCGGTACATGACGTACACGAGGACAGTGTCCGCTGAAGAGCCTGTGTGGGGTGGAAGAGGTGGAAAGTAACGGTTACACTGGTTAGCCGAAAACACTGATTGAGCGCACCAAAGAGGCGCACTCATGTAAGGGGAAAAGGACAAAAAAGGTGCCTGCTTGTTGAGGTTTGTGTGTCACTGTGCCTGAGGGCGAATTGGCCTGGTGATGTGGCCCCCTTAATGAGCACTGGCACTACCCCTCATTGTCTATGCAAACATCAATGCAGCCTACAGGAGAATGATAGCTGATGTAGCTGGCGAAAAAGGTAGGTCAAGTTGAAAGACAAGACTCGCAAGGAGCAGAAGATGCGGTCAACTGACAAGAGGCACTATCTCTCTCTCTCTCTCTCCTTCTTTAGGCAAAGCCGAGTTTGCCGTCCGTCAGCCAGCATCATTGACCACTTGCAGTAGCGGGCAAACTGGTCCGTGGCATTAGTCAATGCAGCGACTGTGGCAGTCAGCGTTTGTCAGCCAAACGAGAATTTGGCCGAGGTTATCAATAAGGCTGCTGTCCGGCCTGAGGAAAGAAAGAGAGCTCTCCGAGAGCAATGGATGTGTGATCAGCAGCTTGTGAAGCAGTAAGCCCGCCGTGTGGTCTGCCTGTGCAGTGCCGTCGATCGCACAGTAAGGCAGTAGGACAGGACACATCGCTAGACGATATTTGCTCGGTCAACAGTGATGGCAATCAGCTGCACTCCACTGAAAGCGCTTTCGCCCACTGTCACCACTCGGTCGTTTCACTGCTCTGTCTTAGCACATCACCGCTGAGTGTGTCTCATTGTGTCCATTCATTGATTGTGCTTTCGTTCGGGTTCCTCTTTCAGTGGCGTGAAACGCGAGAGTGACTTTGGAGGATACAGGCCGTCTCGGTCTACATGAACCTGGCGTCGGTGGCGGAAACTTACAAAGGTACAGCTGACGATTGGCGAGGCGAAACGAGCGGCTACGGCGGCGGCGGGTGAGAAGCTGGTGAAGGTGCCGACTGAAGACTTGAGCAGGTGGCCAAGAGCGCCGCTCTCCGCGGCCTTGATCAGACGGCCGACATCCCGGTGAAGATGGGGCCCGAGGAGCCTGTAGCTCTGTGATATTGCCATTGCCCCTCAAAGGAATGGCCAATTTTCCGCTCTCGCTGTAGGTCTGGTTTTGTTTACGGAGAAAAGAAGATGTTGCACAGCACAGGACGACACAGATACCAGGAATCAATGGTGATAATGATGCGGATGGAAAGGAGATGGATGCTTGAGGATAAAGTACAAGGCTAGAGTGTTGTTTATTCCCGGGTGAAACTACAGCTGCTACCAGAGTGTTGTTGTGATGCACGTGACACTCAGCTGAGTGTGGGAGTGGGTGACCGGAAGATGGCAGTAGTGGTGGGTGGCCTAGTGAAGGCAGTTCAGACTCTAACGCACAGTTTGGGTGATCGGCGATTGAATGCAGACGATGTGATGAAGAGAAGACAAAACTGAAAAAATTATTGTGTCCACCGGTGATGTTGCATCTAACGGGAGAGAGGATGAGAGGATGGTGCGTGCTGCTGCTGCTGCTTCGGCCGGTGGTGGTTGAGCAGCAACTGACAAACTCGCTTCGACTGCAGCCAGTCCAGGTCGAGAGATGTTCGCCGATGGCTGGCCACTGCCGTCGCCGTTGCTGTTGCTGCTGCTTCTGCTACTGTCCCTGTCGTACCGTTCTTCGTGTCCACTTGTTTCAATACATCGAGGTTGCACTGTTCTTTGCAGACGCTGAGAGAGTGCTGCTGCTGCTGTTGTGGCTGTTGTTACTGTTACTGTTTCTGATGGTGATGGCCGAAATGAAAGAAATGCTCTCCCAGGTTATTTGTGCAGCATTTCTCTTTCGGTCGATCAGATCGAAAGAGAAGCCCTGCTCGCCAGTGGCTGTTCTGCAGCTTCATCGGCAATAAGTGCCGCTCGCTTCGAAGCTATATTTACGCATCGTTTTCACAAGTGTTCACAACCTCCTCCTCCTTCTTCTCCTCTGCACTACTGACCTCTTCCTTTACTTGCTCATTCACTCACTCACCCACTGACCACTGAAAAGTAGCACCTGGGCATCATTTGCCTCATTTGCCTTACATTGAGCATCAGCAGTGTGTGCAGCCAATGTTCCCGCAACGGACTTGTTCTAATTTTGGCTTTCCATTCCTTCCCTTCCCATCCCTCTGCCTAATGCTAATCTCGTACATCGCTATCACTTTGAATGACGCCGAAAAATAATGCCAATAGCAGTGATCGTCCAAGTCGGCGCTGTTCTTTCTGTCTGGCACTATTAATAAAAGTGACTAGGCAGTGGTGTGCAATGCTGATGGCGATGGCACTGCTCTCGCCGGAAGAGGGAAAAAGAACAAATCCATTGTTTGCGATATTTTAGCTGATTGCAATTTAAATGAGATACATTGCTGAGAGCATAAGGGCGTATTTATTTAGCGCATTCAATTATAGCGAATATTAGCGAAATGAATCGACATATCATCACATGCGAAGCGATCTCTTTGCCAAGTGCTTCGCTGAGCTGCTAATGTGAGAGCGGCAGTGCTGCTGCTGCTTCGGCTCCAGCTGTCAGAGCGACCTGGCTGTCCCAAACAGTAGTGGGCTCTGGGAGAGTCTGAGAACCATCAGAGAATCATCATGGATAAACGTAGTGGAAAAAACTCGGTAAATGCAACTGCTCATCTGCAATCCCATTTGCTGGACTCCAGTTTACGTGTTCATTGTCGAAATGGATGTCTGCTGAAAGCGATTGTAGATTGGTGGCTATTTAAAAAATTTGGAATATTAAAACCAAGCAAAATCAGACAACGATTAGCACAACTTACCGAATCACAATGGCAGAGAGTACCACCTTTAGAAGGATCTGTGAGGCATATGCGATTGCAATAGATTTTAATTTTTTTATAAGCGGGCATTGGAGTAGTGGTAGTGGGCCTCAAAGTGGTCGGTTCTTTGCCATGAAAGAGAATGTCATCTATACTCTGAGGCTCTACTGGGGCGCCGTGAACAAGAAGCAAAAGTGCCCCAGTCAATACTAGAAGTGGAAGGACCATTCTTGACAGCTGCATTGTTTTTAGTGTCGGCTTTTGCTGGTAACTTTGAGTGATAGAGGTAATGTGAGTTTGAACGTGTTCTGCATTGACTGCCAGTCTGACAGTCCATTTATACCGACTGTACGTGGTGTCCTATCGTCAGCCCTACCTGCCTGGCAGCAACAGCCATTGGAGATAATTTGATTGGCCTCACTCCAAACTGCGGCGGTAGCATCAGAGGATTCACAGAGCTCTCTGGACACTTCTACTCAGTGATAGTAGATGTACAGGTGGTAGTGCTGTGCGAGGCCATCAGTCAACAAGTTGTCAAAGTGGTCAACAAGCTGCTGTTACATGTACACTCTGTTCAATTACTTTACCAATCTGCATAAACTGTCACAACTGCCTTTTCTTCCTCGGTGTTGACCACCACTGACTATGTGACAACTTTGATGAGTCTTGTGGTGGAATGTGACAAACAACAGGCGATTATTTGGTAGATCAGCAGTAGATAGAGGAACTGTATGTACAACTGATTGCCAAGGACGCCATTGCGAATGAGCACCAGCAGTTGAATGATGTCCACTGGGCAATGCTGTGCCCAGTGCTGGTGATAGAGCGGCGATTGAGGGAGACCAAATGGGATGCTATCAGTACCTTTCAATCACACACAGAGACACTCACTATCTAGATAGTTTACCGATCTCACTTGCAGAGTATTGCACCGTCGATTGCTGTGCAATCCTTTTTGCCCACACAGACAGAATCGGTGTCAGTTTTGAGCAGACCCAAGTCACGTAGTCGTAGTCCTAATGTTTTCCCGAGCCTTGAGCTAAGGTACGTGTGTTGTTGATCGGTTCCAGATTTGAGATGATGATACTATGCTGTAATCACACTTGTCATTAGGGAGCGATTAGATTGACAAAAACATCGACGCTTCTGCAGTGCAAAACAGCCTTGAAAGTTGTTTGTTCTATTACCGCGACTACTCATTTTGTTGTTTTTTATTGTTTGTCGATATTTATCGAGCTGCAGCAGCGGCAGCACTCCAGTGGGCTCAACTATAATTAGCAGGACTTCCATAATTGTAATTGACAGGTCCATTAGTGCATCAATCTGGTGGTGGATGAGCGTCAATACAGGCCGGATGGAGAGTGGGGTGCATTCAAACTCACAAACTATGCTGCCAGGATGCAGGAACTGCGAGGTAGTGCACAATGGGTTCGTTGCTGGCCGGTTTTTCTCTCTCTGCGATGACGTGTGAAAGTGCACCGTACAGCTAAAGGAACGCGTTTTGCTTGGAGAAAGTGCAAACTGCAGTGGTGCCGGTGCTGGTGCTGGTGGGCCACAGCAACAGCAGTGGAAAATCACTTCACATCGATTGGCCATCTAACAAAAACAACAGCCTGCTTGATAGGAAAGAAGACACCACTATCATCGCTTTAATTAGAACTGATAGTAATGAGTAAAAGTATAATTTATAATTAAAAGTGGCCGCCGTTATCAGCGGTTGCAGGCGACGGCGCAGCTATAGCGTTTTGTTACTGGGAGAGAGAAAGAGAAGAAGGTGCAGCAGCCATCAGCAACGACCTGCCGACCACCAGCATCAGTGTTGGTGGCAGTGCTCGCTGATAGGTGCTCATCGTTTATTAATGAATGAAAGAGATGGAGAGAAAGAGAGGGACAGGTGATGGTGCCCAGTAACACCCACACAGCACTGCTGGGACTGCTGCAACTGAACATGAAAACGCCCCCAGAGTTTTGAAGAGTAAAGTGTAACGAAGAATTTATAACAGATTAACAAGTGATAAAAGATGGAATTACAACAACAGGTGCGTTTCGGTGAGGAGGGAGAGAGAGAGTATTAGAGAGGTGAACATGCTTTTAAGTAGAGAGCGAGTGGCCACTGGTGAGTGAGAGTGAGAGCTGAGAACGGTAAATACAAAGCTGGCTGACCGTTTTCAGAAGTGCTTCGCTCAAAAGCACATTTCGTAAAACGAGGTGTCTCTCCTCGGTCTTTGTAATCACAGTGGCTGAAGTAAACAGAGAACGAACCAATGGGGCCAACCTGTTGAACCAGCGGTGCAGACAACAAGTTTTCTGCAAAGTCAGTGTGTTACTGCTGTCGCTGCATTTGCTACAACTAGCCATTCTGTCCAACTATTTGGCTGGAAGAACGTCGTACATGATTTGCCGAGTCGGCTCGGTGAGAAAGTCGGGAAACTTTATGTCAAAGTTGATGATTAGGTCGCCCCGTTTGGAGGTTTCCTTTGGATGGGGCAGTCCCTCGCCGGAGATTCGTCTCTGAGTGTTTGGTTTGACGATTTCACTCATCTGAATCGGTATTGAGCCGCCAGACAGGGTGGGCACGCTCACTTTGCATCCACATAAAGCCTATTAGAAAAGGAATTAGTAGTTTGATCAGTCCATTCAAACTGATAACTTACATCACGCAGAGTAACTTTAGCTGTGTAGACAATGTTGGTGCCCTCACGTTTAAAATGCTGATGAGGCTTGTCTCGAATGATAAAGACAATATCGGCGGGAACTGAAGAGCTACTGCGGTCACCTTCATGCTGGAACGTCACTTTGGTGCCTGCTTTCCACCCGGGCACTACGTTAATCGTCAGCACCTTGTCCTCCCTCTTGAAGCTCTTTCCATCGGCAGCATTGAGCACCTTTCGTGTGATCTTCATCTTCTTCACACAGCCATTGAGCACTTCCTCTAGCGAAAGGTACAGGTCGTGTTCAATGGGTGGGTCTTGCTTTCGACTGCCTCCACTGCCACCGCCGCCACCGCCACTGCTACTCTTGCGGTCATTCACCGGCGATCCGTGGGTGAAGGACTGTGAGCGGAAGGCGTTCGTCGCCCCGCCGCGAGAGGGCCCACCAAAGGGACTGAAGAAGGGGTCGTCCATGTCCTCGAAGCCATTGAAGAAGGGGAAACCCGAACCTAGCGAAAATGGCGATCGATTGACTTCGATTAACACCCGAAGTAATCAGAGGTAAGCGCCCAAACAGACAAGCAAATTGGAGAGAGTTAATCCTCCGATAAAGGGGAAGCGATTGCCGCTGCTGATAGGACAGAGAGTAGACGAGACGGCGGTCAGGAAAGTCCTCTGCCGTGGGAAAGAAATCATCACCCCATTGATATCACTTCACTGCTACTGACAATGCCTCCATCTTTGCCATCGTTTGTTGCCATGTTTTCTCCTTCTCTGTGTGTGCTGCCTGTTGTGTTGTGCGGCCTCGTTTTTTCCGCGCATTTGGGTTGCCCCGGTGCCGGGGGAGAGTGTGCACCGACAGAGTTGCGACAGATGCGGCAACCAGAGAAGCAAAATTAAAACACAAAACCTTCCTGTTTTTTCACTTTCTCTAATTGACGACATTTGTGACAAAGATTGTCACAGACTCTAATGCTTTACAGGCTGCGGCTGTTGTTGCTGCGTCCGCACTTCTTTTCGTACGACCTTGCAGCATGTTACTTCTAACTCTTTAGCTACCAGGCAGCAGAGCTGTACTTTCTCCTGTTCTTTTACTGTCCCGCATTGCAGATTAGCTCAATGGGGCGCCATTAATTATAGAGTGAAACCAAGACACTGCCTGCTGCTAGTGATGCACGTCAGCGAACGAGTGAACCAAAAAGAAAACGAAGCAGAGTAGCTTTCAGCTAGTTGCTGAGAGCGAGAGAGCTTGCTTTGCCTTCCTAACCAAATATACTTCTAATAAGGCACCTCTCCCTTTCCGCCATTGAACTGTCTGTCGACTCCTCGATTCGATACATTTTTCCGAATCATCAGCAAAGAACAGAGACGAACTTCAGCAGCAGCAGAGAGGCAATAAAGATGACGAAAGCGAATATGCAGTAGAATGCAATCGAAAGTGTGCTGATGCTGCCGTTGCTGTTAGTGCTTTGGTGTCGAAGGAAGCGGGAAAGAAAAAAAGAAAGAGAGAAAGAGAATATATTTAGCCGGTGATGAAGCAGTGGCTAAATGACACGGCAACGGTGCAATCCACCAGTACCAGCAAAGGATGAAAGAGGAAAAAGAAGAAATGAATTGCGAGACGTGAACACCAGAGGCAGAGGCAGAAAGCAGTGCACATAGCGAACACCATCACCACCACCAACAACCGATACAACTCAGTGTCAGTTTGATACGCTGCTCTGGTGCCGCTGGTACTTGTCGGTGTGCTCTTGCCTGACATCTGCGAAACTAGTACTGGTGAACCACTTGGTGATTGGCTCATCATCACCATCGCCACAATTGATAGTGACAGTATCCTCTCGAGCATTCTCGAACGCAGTGCACCTGCTCGTGTGTAATGGTAGTGGGCACTGTTCGCCCACCACACCATTACCACAGCTACCTCCCCTGTCCAGCCTAATTAGTCAGTGGCTCTGTGAATTGCTTTCGCGAATATTCGAGGATCGATGGCGCAAGTGTAGTCACGCGAGTGACAAACTGCCAAAAGTGTGTTGTGAGAGAGTGAGCCAGCGTCAGATGACGCCTAACGCCGTCTCAGTGAGATCAGTGCTGCTGCTTTTCTGCCGCAGTTTCTGTGCTTTGACAAATGATCTAGGTTGCGGTTTGAGGTGCAAAGAAGCAATAGCTTTGCCGAAGGAAATGAGAGCAGTGCAGTGGAATGAATTTGCGGGAAAAGAAAAAAGAAGGAGAAAGGTCGCTGAGAGAAAGGGAGAAGGGGGAATCAAAGAGGAAAAGAGGGAAAACAGCAGTATGCAGAGAGCAATGGCAAGAGTAGCAAGACTTACTTTGATGACTGTTTGGTCCGAGACCGCCAAAGTTGAAGAATATATCAAATGGATTGTCAGTGCCAAAAAACTGTGAGAATGTAGCTCGAGGATCGCCGTGGAACGTGTACGTAAAATTGGGATTGGAACTGGAGCTGAAAGAAGAGCTGCCGCCGCCATTCTTGAGACCCTCCTCGCCAAACTGATCATAGACATCGCGTTTCTTCTTATCAGAAAGCACCTCGTACGCCTCAGCAATCAGCTTGAACTTCTCCTCCGCTTCAGGCGTTTTGTTCTTATCAGGATGGTACTTCAGAGCCAACTTGCGGTAGGCCTTCTTTATTTCCTCTTCAGTCGCTGTCCGACTGATGCCAAGAATTGTGTAATAATCCTTGCCCATCTTTACTGAAACAGCTGCCGAACCACAGCTTAAAGGGGGAGGGAAGGGGAGTCGAGACTGCCGGTGAGTGGATTGAAAGGCACAGCAGACAGAGGCACAGTGATGGCAGAGAAGATACCGGTGCTGAAACTGGTGATGGTGATGGTGGTGTTGGTGATGATGATGATCGACGAGGGATGCTTCGGAGAATCACCACTTTACCGGGATCCAATTAGGAGAGTGTGACGAAATAGAATCGACAGTGAGAATTAGCGACTTTGCAATGGCAGGCGAATGTCGATGTTCGGTGTTGGCCCATCGACGACGATCCACCACCATTCACCATTTAGCAAGTAGTAGGCGCAGTGTTGTGTTTGTTGTGGTGGCGGTGGTGATAGCAGTCCGCCTGGCGGGCTATATTTGTGGCCGTAGATGGATTGCAAGCCTTCCTTCTCAAAGGTGCTCGCCTCCTCACTTTGCCGCCGCCACCGCCGCTGCTTCAAGCACTGCTTCAAGCAGAAGCTCGTGAGCTCAGGAGCTTCAAAGAGCAGCAGTAGCAGCAGTTTAAGTTACTGTTGCTCTTACTGCTGATGATGAGTTGCCGTAACTCTCTTCGCTCGATGTGTTCAGTGACGCCACTCTGTCGAAGTCGCGCAATTCGCGAAATAGACCAGATGGCTGCTGCAGCCACTGTGTCTGTGCCTGCCACAACGAACTGCGCACCAAGACGCACTGTACATTCTCCTCGGAGACTCTGCTGCTCATGCTGCTGCCGCTGAATTGGGCGCCACTAGCAGCAACAGTGGTGGTCGGTCGCCAGGCGTCTTCAGTGCCTGCTGAGACACGAGTCAGGCAGCACCTTTACATCTACCAAAAGACTGAATGTGCGAGTGAGTGAGTGAGTGAGTGAGCCATCACCATCTGTGCACCTGTTTGAACGCAGTAATTAGCGACACTCGAACAATGCACCGATGACCTTACCATAACGGTTATATCTGCTGCTGCTCTTTCAGGCAGTCAGTCAGTCACTGTGACACCTGACCTTTTTTGATGCAATCAGCCCCAGTGCGCAGATAATGCTATTAGGCGCCTGAGGTGGTGCTCAGAGCACACATGCATCGCTTCCTTTTGCAGCAAAAGTGCCCTGTTCACTGCTGATCATCGACAGCAGCAGCAGCAGCATAAAAAGCATTTGCTGACTAGGTGAACACTAGCCCAGAGCTTCGCTTATGATCTTTACATGTTTGATGTGTGCACTGTACTGTGTGCTATGTTGACAGCTTGCTGGGCTGCCGAATGAGGATGCACAGTCCATCAGATCCAAAGGAAAGAACAAGTTGTTGATGATGCGCTAAAGGCGGGAAAAGAGTGCTATTTGAATAAAAGAAAAAAAAGTTTATGAGTACTTGTTGAGTAAATACTTGTAGTGTACCACCGAACACCGTGAAAAGATGCAATCCGCCGTACAAATGATAGTGCCTGAGTGTGGCGTGTGACGCTTCGAAGTGGCTCTCAAATTAACACCAGCACTCAGTACTCTCATGTTCGCCGTTAATCTCGGCGTGTGCACAATTCGATTGTACTGCTTGATAGGCGCTTCTAGTGATCATCTTCCACTATTGGTCAATTACGTTTCCCATCAGCAGCAGCAGCAGCAGCAGTGGCAGTGGGAAGGGAAAGGGAACTTCTCTTGAACAGAGAGAAAGCTGACGAGCGAAGGTAGCCAACGGACTGAACAATGTCTGCAAGTGTTGGTAGTGCTGGTGGTAGTGGTGCTGGTGGCGTGATGTCAGAAGAAGCAAACACATCTTCGGTGACGCCAATGTACAGCTCCCAGCTCTACAGACACCACTGCTCAACACTCGCCACCGGCTTTTTTTCTGTCGGCATCCATCTGTTCCCTCGCCTTGCCATCGCTTCCACTTCGCTTGGCCTATCTTTCTCCCTGTTGTGTCCAGACTGTGTCTTGAGGACAGCGATATACGGCAGCTTTTTCCTGCAACTGGTCTCACACTACCACGCCACTGTGTCGCTAATTGCCAGTCCGTCAGCCAACAGGCAAATTGTGCGGTTGTGTGCTTGCTAAAATTCCCCTATCTCTGGCAAAGGCCAGCTAGCCAGACAGACAGACTTAGGTGCACACAGACACAAGCAGAAAGAGAGAGAGAGAGAGAGAGAGAGAGAGAGAGAGAGAGAGAGAGAGAGACAGACTGACGACAGGCGCTGACTGAGCGGACAACACAGAGTGAGAGTGCCACGACGATCAACGACGAAATCAGTCCACTCCTGGCCTCCCTTCCACCGTGACTTTGCCTCTGGTCTTCAAGAGCACTCACACTCCATCCTCAGTCCATCCCAGTTCACCACAACACCACTTGGAGACATGGAGGTACTGCCATTAGCTTCACACCGGACAACACAGTTTATGCTAATAATTTCACTGCTTCTTTCTTCTTTGGTCAGCTCGATATTCTCAAGTCCGGCTCGGAAGCGGTGATCTTGACACTGACCGGCGTCGATCCCAACAGCACCATCCAGGATGTCAAGAGGAAGATTGCGTTTCAAAGTAAGTGTCGCATTAGCATACACTTAGTTTAAAGAACAACTGTCACTTAATCACTTGACACTTNGTAAGTGTCGCATTTGCATACACTTAGTTTAAAGAACAACTGTCACTTAACCACTTGACACTTACAGAACGCGCCATTTACCCGGAGCGTCAATCGCTTCGTTTGGAGTCCAGTAAGTATCTTTAGAGGAAATAACAGGATTGATCACTAATGACAATCGCTTCTGCAGGAGGAAGGTCTCTCGATGACAAGGTTGTCATCAGCAGCCTGAATCTGAACCGCGGCCGTGTCTTGTACCTGAAGGATCTGGGTCCTCAGATCGGCTGGAGCACGGTGTTTCTCGCCGAGTACGCCGGTCCCCTGCTCGCCTACATGATCTCCTTCACTCGACCCTATTGGCTGTACGGCAATAATGCCGACCTGCCGATGAGCTATGTCGTCAAGTGAGTACCACCAACCTGGCTGTTTATAACTCTACTAACCTTGGTCTAAACTAGGATCGCCGCCGCCTGCTGGACTCTGCACTACTCAAAGCGTATTTACGAAACCATCTTTGTGCATCGTTTCTCCCACTCTACGATGCCAATTATGAATCTGTTCAAAAACTGCGCATACTACTGGGGCTTCGCCTTCTACATTGGCTACTTTGTCAATCACCCCCTCTACACTGAGCCTTTCTTCGGAAAAGTGCAGGTCTACCTCGGCCTCATTTCTTTCCTGGTCAGTTGTTGTTTTTGTAGTGTTTTGAAGTACCTTTTCCTTCTAACATCTTGTTTTCCTCCTGTAGCTGAACGAGTACGGCAACTACTCGATTCACGTTGCTCTGCGTGACCTGCGTCCGCCAGGATCCACTGAGCGAAAAATTCCGATGCCCACTAAAAATCCTTTCACCTTTCTCTTCCGCTACGTTTCTTGCCCCAACTACGCCTACGAGTGGTACTCCTGGGCCTCCTTCAGCATCATGACCCAAACTCTGCCCGGTAAGAGTTGCTTTTCTTCCTCCTATCTCAGACACTCATAACAAACAACACTCCTTTCTCTCCACCAGCTGCTATCTTCACCGCTGTCGGTTTCTATCAAATGGCTGTTTGGGCGCTGGGAAAGCACCGCAACTACAAGAAGGAATTCCCCAACTACCCTAAACGACGAACCGCCATCGTGCCGTTTTTGCTGTAAACTCACACACACACACTGCCGAGCAGTTGTGTCGGGCCAAGTTCTCCCTACCATATGATGTATCACAACTTTCTAAGGGCCCAGTAGCTTTACTATTTTTAATTCCTCGGTTGCTTCGGTTGTCGCTCATGCGGATGACATTCAAACTACAAACGTTACTAGTTTGCAATTAGTGTGCAATTTTATCCATTTTACAGTTTATAATTCCTCCATTCATTACTTTGACGGGTTCAAATGTGGATTGTACTTTTTTTTATACTTACTCTAAAATAAAAAGCGGAAATTAAACTGGCCTTTTGGCGCAAAGTAATTAGTGGAATGACAGTAATTTGAAAATCCCATCCGAGTAAGCTCTTCTTGCATCTACTGCAAATCGCAGACTGCAATGCACCACAGCCAGCCCACACGCCGTGTGTTTAACGTTAAATACAGCGTTGAGCAGTGCCGCTAGCAGTGGAAGTCGATGAGTCATCAGTGTTTGCCTTCTACGGAGCTAGCAACTAGATTTTGCGTGCATTTTATTTTTCATTCCACAATTCGCCATTTATCCATTTGTGCGGTCAACATCGTCACCACTTAACTCATCTATTTCATAGCAGTCAAAAAAGGACCACTAACTTACCTCAAGATGATGAACTTTGACAGCAACATTAAAGAGTTGCGCAACAACCTCAGTCTGGACTTCTCCTTGGGCCCATCGCAGTCAAAAGTGAGCAATTTCAAAACATGTGTTCTAGAGACGCCAGGTAAGAGGCTCGTTTAAATTCTTGTAATAAAAACTATAAATAAAAAAATTCTTTTAGAGTTTGCTCGTGTTGCCCTCGCTGACACTCTGGGTCCACACTCTAAAAAAATGCGATACAATACCGAATGCATGTTAGCGACTCCAGGTAAAGCAGCAAGTCATTCCGTTTTCTTGCATTTTCTTACAATCACGATTTTACTGTAGATATGGCAAAAATTGCATTGTCAACACCTGAGCTGGACAAGCTAGCGATGAAAACTGATTTTGGTCTACCAACGCCCAGCTTGAACACATTCCTTCGAACTGACGAAGAGGAAGATGACAAAAACAAGTTAGCGCAAAACTGGGCCAACGCTACAAAGCTGCAAAATATTAAAACGGAAGAGGTTGATGAAATTAAATTCCTTCCGACATCAAGAAATATCGGTATGTTTACCGTAGTAAACCTAAGCAACTTCGCCTTTGCTAACATGTGTTTTCTTTTGGTTTTAGCAGAAAGCGACAAAATAGACGTTGTTGAACTAAATATAAGTCAGAATGGAATGGAGCCAATCGACATGGACGACCAAGAGAGAATAAAGCTGGAACGAAAGAGATATCGCAACAGAATTGCCGCTTCCAAATGCCGTCAACGCAAGTTGGAACGAATATCCAAATTGCAAGAGAGAGTTGACAGGTATAAAAACAAAAACAAGGAGCTGAACAGACTTGCCTGCGTCGTGGCGAACATTTGCAATAGACTAAGCGGCCACATCCGCTCCCATCGTGAAAGGGGTTGTGATATTCGTGAATTGTAATACTTTAGCAATAGTTTAGAAAAAACTCATTTTAATACACACTTGGAAATCTGGCGCAATAAAGTGAGACAGTACAATTCCACCATGAAATGAAAGCTGTTCTACAGCTTAGCTAAACTCTTGGACTTGTTCTTCTTCAACAATTGTGTCTGTGAGCGCTCTTGATTTGTAGGTCCGCCGCCGCTAGCCCCTGAGTTCAGCCGCTTCTTGGGCGGGCGTCGGACTGAGCCGTCGCTGAGTCTCGGGACGACGTGTGACTTGGCGGACATCATGCCCTTCAGAGTGGGTCCCTCCTCTGACTTGCACACCGGACCGCTCTTGCCCAGGCACTTGGAGCACCGCTTGCACTTGCTCAGCGGCTCATCGAAGACGCACCAGAGGCAGAAGCCGAAGATGAGGACGACGACGGTGCTGAAAGCGCAGCAGATGGTGGCATTGATGGCGATGATCGTCCAGTCGAAGGAGTTGCCAAACTGGCACAGGCCCTCACTGCTCTCGTAGTAGCCCTGCAGACAGACGCACTGGTTGTGCACTATGTCGCACACTGAATCGATGAGCGCAGTGTCACTGCTTCTGCTGCCCTGCTGGTACCGGTGAGGGTCGCATTCGGCGTTTGAGCTGCAGCTGATCTGCATCATCGGCCAAGGATTAGCTTGGTCTGGATTGAAACTTGCCCCCTTGTGAGCTTACCTTGATGCAGGCGTTGTCCTTCATGCGGAAGCCGACCTTGCAGATGCACAGTCCTTTGGACAGCAAACATACCGAACCACTGATTTGGTTCTTGGAGAGAGAAAAGGAATGTGTTACAAATGTCACTTATTTACTGGTCAACTTACATTGCAATCATCAGAACTCTTACTACAAGTGACAATGGAACTATGTTTTGTCGATGGTAATGTTGAGTCGGAGTTCACCATCGGTCCAAGTGCAAGAACCAAAATTAAAATGTGTAGCATTTCTAGACTGAATTCTAATCAAAGCATGATGATGAAAGGGTGCAGTTTTTATGCTACTTTTCAGCAATAAAGTTCCATTCTCCAGAATTCGCCTGTTCTTTTGTTTGAGAATGACTCATTTTCAAAAAATGAATATTAGATTTGATTTGGTGCACCAGATATGAAATTTTTACTTTAAATTAGGATAACAAAAATTTTGGTCGAGTAGATTCAGAGACAATCTATTGCTTGGATAAGGGTAAAATATCTGTTGCTAAATCTTACAAATACTTTTTAATGAGGAAAGAGATGTACAGTTGTTGATAATACAAATAATTAATAAAAGCAAACAGTTAAAGAAAATAAATACTTTTTGCAAAAATCAAAAGTAAGGAGATCATGAGGATGCGGTGGAAGATGAGGACAGTTGAAGGGGTTCCACTTAAACGCTTATGACGGTGTTGTGGCAGAGGTCAATGAAGTGTTCGGTATCACAGAGAAATCGGTGGCAGGTGATAGATGAGTTTGCCTTTCGACTGAAAACAGAGGATTAAAAACTGTTGAGAGAGAAAGGGTGGGACAATACGCCACGAACTTTGTGGTGGTGGAGGTGATGGTAAGGTGGTGCATTGTGATTGTCAAAGGTGGTCTTCGGAGGGAAGGCAATCTGCTTGGTCACTGTCAGATAATACTGGCCGGCAGCTTGTGAAACAGCTCAATCTGGCGTACATTCAGCGGCGTCGGTATGGCTTCGCGGGGCTTTAGAGCACTGCCCAGAGCAGTGCTTGAGGTGGGAGAGGTGGGCTGTGACCCCTTGCCACTACTACCAACAGCATCACTGTGAGAGGGCACGCATCCACTTTGAATGAGCAACTCCTCAATTTCCTTGTGGCCAGAGGTGCGAGCGTAAAACAGCGCCGACTTTCCTTTGGCATCGACGGCTTTCTCATCGACATTGTTCTATGGTTAGAAGGAAAAAGGATTAGGTTAACTCGGGTGAAAAAAGGTCGCTGAAAAAGAGGCTTACCCAAAGCAAGAGTTGTGTTATCTCCAGGCAGCCTCTGCTGGCCGCCAAGTGGAGCGGAGACTTGTCCTCACGAGATCTGACACTGGCGAGACTAATCTTCTTCAGTGACATGTGGGCGAGAACAAGTGCCAACTTCTGCAGATCCATCTCCTGAACACAGTCAATAATTTGCTGGTCAATCGGTCGAGAGTCCTTTAGCGGTGCGAGAAACTGCTTTGTCTCGTACTTGGCACGAATGTACCTCTCCTTCTCAGCATTGCTCGTCGTTGCTGATGGCTTCACGCCTCCACTCAGCTGGTACTCCCAAATCCGATTGGCAGCAGTGTTGCCCAGACCGAGCATAACGCTAGCGTGACTAGATCTGCAGTAATATTAAATATTTAGTGGTCAGCCTGTAAAAGAACGTGCCACAACAAACACTTACGGCCAAACATCAAGTGAAAGTGAGCGAACTTTGGAGATGTGCGTTCCGAGGTTTCGATGTATTCCCGAGCACTCTATGCAAATGAGCGTTCCCAGGTTGAGTGAAGCCCAGTCAGGATCTACAAAAGGCCGAGGAGAAGAAGATTACAGTGAGACAGCCTGCAATCAGGCAGATGGTGAAAAGTGGACTTACTGGGCGCATTACAGTCGACGCAGTAGCGATTGCCGGGCACCGTGCGAATGGAGTGAATGGTCGACTCGTCGACGCTGTTCACATTGTGCAGCTTGGTCTTGTCGCACTGCGAGTTCTGTAGACTAGAGAGAATCTGCTGCTCAATGGCGCACACCCACTCCTCACGCTCGTCACCATTGGTGGCGTTAAAGTGCCACTGCTTATTGTCCAGCGAGACAATGACAAACTCGTTGCCGTCAGAGTCGTCGCCATTGTCGCCATTCTTTCCCGCGCCCAGGCTCTTCCCCTTTCGACTGCGCTTCTTCACACTCAGGTCGTACTTTGGGTTGGTGCTGGGCACCATCTTGGCGCCGTCCACAGTCTGCTCAAGGTGACCGGGCGAGCGTGCGGCTGCGGCGGCCACCATAGCACGACCGCATCGTGGCTTCTGTCCGGGAATCTTCACCGTCGTGTGCTTCAGAGGGATATTTTTGCCATTCACATTGTTCATGTACTCGTGCAGTGTGCGGTGGTAGGTAATGCAGCCGTCAATCAGCGTCACATACTTCTTTTTCCAGTCCTTGTTCAGGGTCTTCTTACTTTTCTTGTACAGGTAGCCCTGCTTAATCTGTAAACAATAAAGTGAGTTTAGTTAAACAAATACTACTTAAGTACCGGTTCACTTACCGGAATGGCTCGACCCACTCCCACTTCTCCGTTCTTGTACTTATCATCGGCGTTTTTACTCTTCCCCGACAGTGGCGTCCCGGAGAATAGGTTAGACTTTCTGCGGTTCTTTCGAGAGGTGTTTGGCGTTTGCAGCGGCGTTGTTTGCTCCTTAGGCAACTCCTTGCTTGGCTGTTCCACCAAACTCTGAAAGGGCACCTTAAACTGATTATTTTCAGTGCTCAGCTTTATCGATTCACTTCGCTTGGGCGCCACTGGGGCGGGCGAGTTGGCTTTGACTGGCGTGTGAAAGACATTCGAAGTGACGGCAGTGATGGGCGTGTGTAGCCTGGGCTTGGCTGCAATCGCCGGTTTGATAATGGTGTTGTTGTTGGTGGTTGTGCTGTTGTTGTTATTATTGTTGACAAAGCTGGTGATGGTAGTTGAGGAAGAGCTAGTCACTAGCGGCAGGGAATTGCGAATCGGCGAGCTGTTGCTGCTGTTGGTCTGCTTCTGCTCTACCTTTGGCCTCAGTTCCACCTCATTGCTCATTCCACTCATCCCCGCTGCAGTCGGCACCGTTGATTGGTGCTCCGGAGTGCTGAAAGGTCCACAGGTGCTGCTGACGGTGTTGATGGGCGAGTTCTTGAAGGTGCGGAACTTACTGCTGTTGGTAATGTTGCCCAGTGGAGTGGTTGGCGTGGAGGGGGCAGGCGTCGTCGATGCATTGTTCGACATGCTTCGGTAGACGCCGGTGTGATTCGGCGTACTGGGGCGAGAGGAATTGCCATTGCCGCTGGGCGTGTTCTCTAAATTACGCATCATGACGATTTGCTTGCAAGCTGTGAATGAACCAGGCAAAATAAAAAGAGGAAGGGTGGTGAGTAAGAGAATCAGCTTGCGGTAAAATCGAGAGTGAAATCTATGTGAGGAGATGCCAGAAATCGCTCATCTGTGTTTATGTGTTGCTACACACACGCACACGCGGACACTCATTTACTGATGGCCACTCTGAGTTGGTCAGTGTGCCAGTAAAGGTCAATTGACTTACCATCATCAAAGACATCATCAACGTGAAGGCCGTTGGTGGCGCAGGTTTCGTAGTACGTACAGCGCTTCATTTCACTGCATAGTTTTCGTGCTCGACTTTCGCTAATTACACGAGGAGTAACTTCGCTGATGCCTTCTGCAGTAAAAAACAGTAGCAAAAAAGTAGATGATGTAAGAAACGAGAAATAAACACAAAACAGTGGCAAGAAGAGTGAACACTGACCTTGAGTGCCGACGAGAAAGACGGGAATGTTGTCGTTGTTGGATCGGAGGTGAATCATTCTGTGGTAGTACGTGCTGACTGCATTGAACGACGATTCGTCCTCCAGACTGAAGACAAACAGAACGGCGTCCACCCAACCGCTGAGCTGCAAACACACAAAAAAATATAAAAAAATCAGTGGAAGTGAGAGAGACCGGATAGGATCGGAGGGCAAACAAGTGTCTCTCTGGCCACCACCACTACTTGCTAATTGGTGTGGGGCTAACGGCCAGTGACAGTTGTGCATTGCTGGTCGCGGTCTATGTAAGTGCGTCGCAGTGGTAACACTGAGACAAACAACAAGAACAAGAACAAGAACAAACCTGCATTTCAGGAGCGCCGCCTTCGTCTCGGATAAGGAGCAAGTAGCTCTGGTCGTTAACGATGACTTCCTTCTTAAATCGTCCACCTTCGGGCGATTCGTCGTGCAGATAGGAGCCAGTCAGGTATCGATGAACGAGGGCTGACTTTCCCGAGGTGATCGAGCCAACGACGCCCTGTTAGGGAGGAGAGTTAGGCAGTGTTCGGGGTGAGAGTGCTGACCACAGTCGGTCAGGGGAGGTCAGCAAATGCAAATGTTTATTGCCTCATTACCGTCCCCCACTGCCGCACTGTTTGGTTGCTACTTACGAGGCGCAGATCTGGAACGGCGCGACTTAGTGTCCATTCTTGACTGTTCACAAATGAATCTGAAGTAGTGGAGAGAAGAGAAGGGGAGAATGGGTTAGCTAATGCGTGACTAATGGACAGCAGGTTGGCAGCATTAAAAGCAGTGGCACCGATGTCCGCAGTGATAAAAGTGCACTGACCACAGTAGCCAGTGGAGAGCTTCCACTTCTTGGACCGACGGGAAAGGCGAAAGGAACGCCGGTCAAAGGAAAAGGGCGACGAGATGGGCATGATTGCACTGAGGACAGCCACCGAACTGACTGAATGTCGGTGGCTGTGAGTTCAGGGGAGCAAGGGAAAGCACTTTGGAGTAAAGTTGGGGGAGTTTAGCAGACAGCCATTCTGTGCCGACAAACGGTCTCTAGTGGACAGACTCTCTGGAGGCACACACTACTGCTCCATTGCTCAGACACTGAAAACGGAGCAGACACTGTTGCGGTGCTGTGAACTGGTGCACTTGTTGTCAGTTGCCACTGCCGGTGAAGAAAGAAAGAAAGAAAGCAAAACGGCTGCCGCAAGTTGAAACGCCAGTGGCGGTCTGTGTTTTGGTGAGTGTTTGTGTGTTTGTGCGTTAGATCGATACGGATGAAAATCAGCCACCAATTCGCCGATTGACTCCTGCTCCACTGCCTCACTGACTGCTGCTGTACGGCAGTGACAGGCAAAGAGTGAGAGTCAACGGAGTGAGCGGATACCGACGTGGAAGTAAGCAGCAGACAGTGACGAGTTGGCAAAGTGCAAACACCAGAACGGCAAGTGAGGGAGTGAGAGAGAGAAAATATAGACGAAGTGTTCAGGCGGAGAGCTGAAAGGAAAGTGCCAGCGGTCGTCCATTCAGCAGCAGTGGTGGACCACGAGGCCACGAGGGAAGAGAACACGCCGCGGCGTGTCCGTGTTCCTGGGACTGCGTGCCAGGCAGTGGAGAGAGTGCTCGATGCGCAAGTGCCCAGGGCACGCAACACACACTCACACTACTGCGAGTAGTGGTACTCTCTGGAACGGTGCTGCCGTAATGACTGCTGCCACAGAGAGTCTCTGTTTGCAGCAGCAGCCGACGACGGCGACTAGTGGTCCAGTGCCAGCAGAAGCAGAGCAATCAGAGCGACGAGAAGGTAGTAACTGTTGCTCGATGCTGTTCAATGAACAGCAGCCACGCGACCAAGCGCACACTTTGACTTTGTGGCTTGGTTTGGCTTGATTAATCGATCGGAACTGTTGCTGCAGTTCCAGTGAGCAATGATCGAGGACCAGCAGCAGCTCTAGCGGCTCTTTACGCATCACTAACCTGCGAGGTGATGGGGAAAGCTGACAATTGACCAGGTTGATGGAGAGAACGAAAAAGATGGGTCTGCCGATAGGAAAGTATAGAGCGAGGGCAGAACAAAACAAGGCAGAGAGACAACAGCGCAACCAGTTAAGAGTGTGCATTGAACCCGAGTCTGCGAGTTAATTGCAAATTACATTGCATCAATTGATACTAGCCCACTGTCGACACTGCTACGACCACGACCACCGCCGCAAACGGTACCGAGCTGTGAGTATATGCGGCGGGCGATGCTCTCTGATGCGAGACGGCATTGTCACTGATCAGCCACTCACTCATTACAGCAATCGAATTCAAATCGAGCCCTTTCTTCGGCGAACCTCACACTCTACACTGCACGCGCTCCCACTGCAGCCCTCACTGAGAAGGTTGTCGATGTTTAGGCGGCGACAAATGGCTGTCACCTGAAATGAGCCATTGCGCAAATTACTGGTGCCGCTGTGTGAGCAGTGTTCAATCGATGAAATGCACAGTCAGTCAGACAGCAGACAAATGGGGGCCAGTGGGGAACACAATGGGAAGAGGGCACCGTGTCGAGAGCTCACCAAAGAATAGGAGAATGGTCGCGTGAGTGATGCTCGCTTCCTTGCCCCATCACCGACCGCCCCGATGATTATACGCCGGCAAACGCAATTGCAAAACTGGAAAATAGTATAAAATCAGCTGTCAGAGTGAACCAGTTGAAGGCAAGCAGCCAACTGCCAGCACACTTTCAACTAGACTAGAGCAGTCACAAACAATGTCCGTTAGACTGGTAAATAACGGAATGATTACGCTAAAAAGAAACTGCTAATCAGCACTTTTAGCAGAACACTGGGCAGTTGGTCAATGTTCGTTAACACGATGATGTTGACTGAACAAACAAACACGTTGACAAACAAAAAAGGCGCACTGACATCGAAAGTGAACGCATACACATCTGCAGATATCGACAATCCAAATTGTACTCGCCACGCGCCACTGCAATTTCAGTCAAAAAACTCAGCAGGCGGCAAATCAAAGGTGCCTAATTAGTGCTCGATTAATGCTAATTGCAGTCTCAAATGGAGTCCTGTCCCTGTCATCGTCGGGCAGAGGGGGAACTGGTCACGAGAGTTAACTTGTCAGCAGTGGGCCTGATCACACCAGCAAGGCACAATTGGGTCGATGATCGATGAGATGTCCCCAGACAGAGAGAAAAGCGGCAGCTATTTCTGTGCGGGGACACAGACAAGGCTAGGCCTAACGGGACACACTGGGCTCGGGTCACGCAAAGTGGCGTGTCGGCCAGTCAGTGAGTGAGTAAGTCTATACAGATTGTTGATTTAATGACTACAACCACCAAACAGCACTGCCTTATTGCTCGTGAGCACTCATTCGCCCATTAGGTCCGCAGGAGGAGCAATTAGCACTTTTATGGCCTCCACCGGACAGCAGAGTCAGTTTGTTGCAACAAGCCTCCGTTTGTTGCGCACACGGTTCAAGGCACTTTGGGTGAACACTTTATTGCCCTCTCCCTCTCACTTCCAGTGATAGCTGCAGACTGGACACTAGCACACTCCACTACCAGTACCGGCACTGTGAGATGGCACAGTACCGTTCACATGGCACTGTGAGAACACAGACTGACTGCACAACACACCAAACGTGCGAGTGAATTAATCAAGCGCCCGTTGGAAGCACAGGCAAAGAAGGATGCTGCCGTTCAGAGTTTGCGAGGGTGTCAGGCAGACAGTTGGTCTCTGTAAAGGCAAATGAGAGTCACCGTGGCAGCACCTTCAATGGCACTTGTGGCCGATTAGGCGAGTAAATCATTTAGAAAATGGGCAAATGAATTTATTGGCCATTAGGACGGCACATAAATTATTGGAGAGAATGAATGGAGGAAGGCAGACACTGAGGAGACACTGAACTACTGAGGGAAGATGGTCGGACACTCAGTGGCGGCGGCCTTAACGATTCAATGCGACAAAAAGGTCGACAAGAGCGCTGATATGCAATGCAAATAAGGCAGTGTTGGCGACGATGGCGAAGCGGCACAAAACATCTGTCTGCTCAGAGGATACAGGAACGGAGAGAGAGAGACTGTGTATTGCCGGCGCTCTCTGCCACAAGACAACTGCCGTCGCCGTCTGCCAAGACAAACACTAGTACTCGGGCAGGGAGGCAGCACGAACAATGCCCAAGTGCACACCTACACATACAAGTGCACGGTGAGGCTGATGATGATGATGATGATGATGATCAACTGAGACTGCGGCTAATAAACAAACGCTGATGGTGGTGATGCAACCTGCAACCATGTGACGTGACAGACCAAATTGAAGTTGAATGAAACTGAAAGCGCGCGCTTTTTCCTTTCCCTTCCTATCAACAATCTTGGGGCAGATGCAGCAGCAACCCAAGATAGGTCTCTGAAGTAAGGGCCTGTGCAAAATCAGCTGCTGCAAAAACACATAAGAGTGACAGCGGCAATGTCGGCATCTACCAGGAGACGATGGAAGTGTTCAGTCGCTCGATAACTCAAAATAGATTAACAACGCACACCAAGTGAACGCGATGAATTGACAGATAAAGAGACTGCAGCTAGTTTATGAACACTAAAAACAACCAATCACTGGTTAAAGATTGATTATCATTATCAACAACATAAAAATATGAAAATGCAACATGGATCTCATTTAGGAAGGCAATAAATGCATTTGTTTGCATTGCTCTGACATAAATCAAAAGGAAACTCGACTCGGAAGCAATGTCAACTGGTGATGATTACTGTGTGCACTGTGTCTGCCAGTGCGAATGGGGCCAGGTTGTGGCTGTGGTGTCATTTAAATTGTAATGTCAACTGATGCCTACCTTCGATGCAGACGACGTGTTCGCGCATACGCTGGGCAATCATGGCGCCATCGGTTCCGCCGATCAATTCCAGAAGGTCGTAGATGGCGTAGATCGATGGGTGAACACTCTCAAAGCGGTGAATCTCATGACGAATGGCCAGAGAATTGGGGTAGAAACACGGCTGAAAGTTCATCGATTGTGAGGTGGTGGTGGCAGTGGAGCTGACGCTAGCACTCGAACACGGTCGCCCTTCGTCGCTCTGACTGGGAGGCCTCTGAGAGGAATCACCCCCATCGGAGAACCTAGGCCGGCCAGGACTCATTGATGTGGGAACGCTGTTCATGATGAGAACGTCGCAAGACAAAGTCTGAGAATGCAGTGAATGCGTTCAGATAGTTGACGAGCAGTTAGGGGAAACTTGGTTATTAAATAAAAATGTAGGTATTGTGGTGATTGTCGCTCTGGGCATCAAGTATCGATGAAGTGACGATGATTACTTAATGGCTTTGAAGTACGCAGAGGGCAGAGATGTGCAGGTTGCACTTGTGCGGCGCCAAGGAGGCGGGAGAGATGGTGCAGCTGGTGTTGATGTCGGTGGTGGTGGTGGTGGTGGCAGTGCCGATGACAGCACTCACAGATCAGTAGAACAGTTGGCAGACTAGCACAAAGCAGATGAGAGGAGGATGCTGATGATGGCCCAGTGGTAATCGGTCATTGCGCGCACCTTTTTACCAGCTGACCCCAGCAGTGCCGGAGTAGAGGAGGTAGATTGGGGGAGAGGACATGATGAGTGTGGGAGTTGGCTTCCGCCTCAGTGGCACCAAATGGTCACCGATGACCGCTGACCGTTGAACGATTCGCAGCAGGCATTCTTCAGCAGAACTGTCGCACCTGATTTGATTGCCGCACCTGGCTAGCGGGTGAGAGAGTGAGTGAGAGTGGTGGGTGATCCTATTCTTCCTATTCACCCTATCCGAGATTCACTCTCGGCGAGTATCAGCTTCAGCTGGTGTGGTAGTGTATGTTTTTGTGGTACTGTTTGATGTTGCCATCAGTGTTCAGCCAGCACTACAACTGCCAGTTTAGTTTGTTGCCGTTCAGTCAGTCAGTGCTGGCTGGCTGCCACTCGTCTTCTCTGTTGACAGAGCTGGTGAGTTTTTGGTGGAGAAAAAATACCTGGCAAAAAGTGTACACAGATGACGTGATTTGAGCGTTTGCCGCTGGAGTTCTTCAAAACAATACCACGCCGTATCGGTTCGGCACGGATTCGGATACTCCCAAGATAGCATCCACTTGAAAAGAGAATGGCCGCAAAAAAGATTAGCCAAGAAGAGCTGCGTCAGATGATGCGCGAGAGGGCGGCCCAGCAGAAAAAGACACTTCAGCGAATTGAATCACCGCTGGCAAAATACGACGATAAAAGTAACCTGTGGTGCGTTGTTTGTAATGTTATTGTTCAATCTGAAGCACTGTGGACTGTTCATCTGCTTGATAAGTCTCATAAAAAGGTAAGAAAGCGGTGGATAACTGGGTTATTGTTTTTAATTGTTGTTTTATCTTTTCAGAAAATTGAAGACTTGAAACGTCTAAAACAGGGAACGCCAGTTCCAAACTCTGGATCAAAGAGCACTAACGGCGTTAAAAGATCATTAGATGGTGATGCTTTAAGAAAATCATCATCAAAGTTTGCCACAATTTCTGAGTTTTCTAAAAAGGAAATTTTGATCAAGCAAAGCAAGACTGAAGATAAGCAGCCAAAGACCAATGATCAACCAACGCTGGAAAATGGCAATACCGATGCCACTTTAGCTGAATCAATTGCTGACCCATCTTTGCCTCAAGACTTTTTCGATAGCGGCGTCCGCGCGCCTGCTGTAAGCAACAATCAAACTAAGGAGCAAATTTCTGCATCAGGAAAGGCAGAAGAAAGTGAAGCGGGAACGCTGCCACAAGGATTTTTTGACGATCCCAAGCTGGATGCAAAAAGTAGAAAAGGTCCTCACGCCAGGGATCCAATGGACGAGCAGATGGAGGTGTTCATGAGAGAAATCGCACAGGAATCTCTCGTTTCCGAAGTGATTCTCGAAGAGGAAATTGAGCAACTGCAGAAAGAAAAAGACATTGACGAGGTTGACGAGCAGATTAATCAATGGGAAAGAGTGGATCGATATCAAAAGAAAATTGAGGAAATTCACAAGAAAAGAAAAGCTGAAAGAGCTGCAGCAGCTCTAAATGCAAACCAGAAAGACAATGAGGATTCTGAAGACGACGATGATGATGACGATTCAGAGAGTCTGAATGACATGAACTTTTGGAGAAGCAAGGGTGTCATTCCTTAATTTTTAACCTTAGCATTAGACTTATTGTAAATAAAAATGCTTTTCTATAAAATCTGGTTCAAAATCCTTAACTTTGTCAAGTTACGCTTCAGCCTGTCACCTGATGGCGCTATGAGTGTGCAAAAAAATCGTGCGTGATTTTTTGTTTGCATTTTTCGGCTCGTTCTCTCCGCCGCCGACTGCTTTTGATTGTCCTCTCTTGTCACCTGAACCCGAAAAAGCCATGCTCTTCTTCTCCTTCTTCCGGACCTTAATCGGCAAGGACGTGGTCGTCGAGCTGAAGAACGACCTCCGCATCTGCGGGACGCTACACTCGGTGGACCAGTACCTCAACTTCAAGCTGACTGACATCAATGTGGTGGACAGTGACAAGTACCCGTACATGGTCTCAGTGAAGAACTGCTTCATCCGAGGCTCGGTGGTCCGCTACGTGCACCTCAACCGGGAAGAAGTGGACGTCACCTTGCTGCAGGATGCCGCCAGGAAGGAGGCCACCTCAAAGGCGTAGCCGTGACACCGGCGCAGTGTCAGCCATTCCCTCAGCAGATCAACTTTAACACTTTTCCCATTCTTTCTCTTTCATTGTCAACTCTTTCACACTTGCATTGAATTGCCGCTACCACAACCTCAACTCTCTTGTACAGCCATGTCAATGTCAGCCGTCGTCGCCGATCGGCATGTGACACAGTCGTCAGCTACAACAAATAAATACATAAATTGAATTCATGTTCAAGGATTTATTTCTTTTCCAGTATAAAATAACATG